GAGAAATGTAAAAGGGGCCTAAGTTAGGAATTAATATTATGCAAACGTCACTCCACAAATGCAGTAGATACTATACCAAACTTACATGGCATGCCACACTTTGTGGATGTTTCACAGAAAAATGTCTGGATGGGCGGATTCCCCTACATTTCTAACACCTGAACATGGAAGTTAAATGGTAATATACAACTAAAACCATGTACTGGCTCCAAAAATAACTCTTATAAGCTGATAAGTAAACTGTACATCACCTCAGGAGTTAAAACAACTGAGGCATCAAGCTACGAGGGGCTATCAACATACTTCTGATATGTGCATGATAAAAATAACTGTATGATATTGAAGAATGGTTTATATCATTCACACAAACGTAATGTTGACATGCACATGTCGCTAGTTTCCTGTCACGTGACATGTAATCACATGTACCCCTGCGAATTGGAACGGCAGAAATGGATAAGCTTGAGTACAGAGCAGTTTTTGGTCCTCGAGGGGCACACTGAAGAGCGATTGACAGGAGTACGAGTACTGAGTCCCATGAGGTACTCGTACTGCAGTCACGTGACCGGAAACAATGACATGTGCATGTCAAAAATATGTGAATGACATAAACCATTCTTCCCTATCATACAGTTGTCTTTACCATGCACATATCAGAAGTATTTTAGGCTCAAAACTTTTTGATAGCCCCTTATATTAATTTAGATCACAATCACCTTTATGCAAGTATCTTACCACCGAACTGAGCTGTACACAATGGAATGAGTTTGTTACAATTATACGTGGCATCAGCATTATTTCGAGTAAATGTCAATGTGTGATCTTGCACTAAAATGTAAATATGACATGTAAATTATGCAGTAAATTTAATGAGACGTCAAAGACGTCAGTGGATGCCCAGAGTTGGCACGAACACTAGTTTAGGGACAAGATGTCCTGACTCTTTTTTGTTATTCCTGTACTCGCCATGCTAGTACGTTTGACTCCATGGCCCAGCCATGGTAAAATCCAGAATATGCAGTGGGCGTCATGGACATTGACAATTGAAAAAGTCTTTGCAATAACATATTCTCAGATGTATCTAATCCAGCAAACCTGACCTTTTGCCATTTGATAATGCCAATGAAAGTAGTATGTATATAATGGAATTCTCTGTCCCGTTTGACACCGATATGATTGACAGTTTCAGAAAAGGGTAAATATACAGGCTTGATTACTAAATGTCATGCTTGCATCGTTGTCCACTCCCCGTTATACTTGGTGTGTTAGGCTTACTACCTCCCAATCGCTTGAAGGACATTGGAACACTGCACACGTTTGATGTCATGAACACACCCATTTTGATACTCTGGGTAATTCAGACTGCTGCAGTGATGGGAATCTACACTTGTCGGAAACATTCTGGGTAGGTTCTTTGAAGCTACTGTGCCAGGATCACCCGAAAAATCCTAAATTTACATATTCTTATATAAATAATAATAATAGCTCTTTGGAAAGGTTCTTAGTGGGTTCGCCTAGGATGAGGTAATATTCGAAAGTAGTAATACCGTTTTAATGTAAAGAGTCACACTCCTTTCGTTTTGTACAAACATTTATTGTCAATATTCATCTTTCAGATAACTGCAGCATCAAATCGTTTTTGGCTTTGACAGGAAAAACGTGACCAGTCCGTGGATTCATCTAAATTAGATTGTTCAGAGTGAAACAGATGGTACATGGCTACCCGATTCTCACTTGAATGTATTCAAAGCTTCAGGAGTAAACATGGCTTTCTAATTAATGAAACGATTTGCAGAAACATGAGTTATGCAATATGCGCATATTTATATAGCGCATTTTGCATCGACGTGATATTGCTAATGCATTGCAATGACAATAACAACAGCTGTGACTTCATATTCCATCATATTGGAATCGAGGCACGCTAAATGCACAAGCATGAATTCTCTTGTCCTTTAAAACTGCCTCTGACGACAGGGAGACTAACTTGAGGCAAAGAGCTTGGAAAACCAGTAAGTGTTACCACAAGAATTTAGATGAGGTTATTCGAGTCCTGCAAGATTCTCCCTTATCGAGGACTGTAAATTCTGAGGTGAATATGAAACATAATCAAAAGATAACACCCTTAATTGACTGAATTGAATGACTTTTATGCAGTAGAGGGGCCACAGGCCCATTATACAGTGCATTGTACAAAAGATATAAATGTTGATGGAGCGCCGCACAGTTGGCAGGTGGTATCATAATAATTATGGTTGAGTTGTTGCAAACAACATGATTCTTGTGTATTGTATGTATTACTTTATTCAATGTCCATCTGTTCAACATGTCCATCCGTTTCCAGTTCTAATTCTAATATCCATATTCAATTCCTGCATGTTGCCTTTTACAGTAGATTAACTGAAATCAGTATAAGAACTAAATACGTTTTAGGAAGTAATAAGCCATAAACAGAATTTAACTTGCTACATGAGCAAATGGCTGTACTGCCACTTCCCAAAGTCATTCAAAAAGACAAAATCACAAAATATTGTTATATGCTCCTAAGCACGTTTGAAATACAATAAAGCACTGAGAGCATGAAAACTTCTTCAAAAGCACTGAGAAAATGTTAACCTTATGCCATGAAAACATGTATTCATATAATTTTGACCATCTTACAACTTGCCACAAAAATTACCAAATAAACAAAATTCCTACACAATAATTACCATGACTTACATGAAAAGATAGATTAAAGTTACTTAACAAATTACAATTCATGAAACATGAAAAATACAATAATAATGCTTACCACTACTTTGGACATTCTCGTGGTGGTTGTTTACTGTGCAAGCACATGGCCTCAAGTGGCATGCCCTGAGACAGTTACCTCTCTTTTGAGGGTTATTAAAAGTGGCAATGGTGTTAAACGAAATAAGAGCAAAATTACACTTGGTTAAATAAAAACTAGAAATTTAACGGAAAATGATTTTTGAAAAATAAAGTTTTAGGAAAATAAGTGTTTTGACCATAACATACCGGCCTCCTAATTGCATAATACATAATGAAGCAATTACAAATGTAGCAACACAATGGTCGAAATACTTATCCTTACAAAACACCTTGCACATGAATACCCATACATATTTACAGAGAATAATGAACCAGTCTTAAACATTTCAATCAATGAAGTCATCAAAGTTCATGATAGTGCACTTCGACAAGTTTTCTTGTCCGTCGATTTCAGTCTTTCTGCACTAAAGATATACCTTGACAGTCATTCATAGTTTTACTGCAATTATTAACAAATGTCCTTTCATTTCTTGCAATCATCTTTTTCTTCCTTCATTGTTCTATTAGAGCTCTGCACAAGGATGCACAGTTTGTCGATTGGACGGACAAGCTCAGTAGTGGCGTTTCTTACACGTGCGACACATACAAAACCTTTCTTATCAGTCATTACCTCCATTATTCTACCAAGCGACCAGGAATTCCGGGGTGAATTGTCTGCGAGTAGCACAATATCATACACATTGTGCCTCTTAACTGTCCATTTCGATCGTTCTTGTTGGAGAGGAAGGTATTCTTTCAGCCATCTTCGCCAAAACACATCAGCCAGATACTGGACTTGTCTTCAGCGTCTTCGAGAATACACCCCGTCCTGGCAAAATACCCCAGGTGGCATTCCCTGTCCAGTTTGCAACAGCAGCAGATGATTGGGCGTCAGGGGCTGAGGTCATGAGGTTGACATGGCACATCAGTGAGGAGCCTTTCATTCAGGATCATTTCAACCTCACAGAAGAGAGTGCTTAGTCCTTCATCATCTAATCTGATTGCTTGTTCTTTCATCAAAGCGTTGAGCACTTTTTAATAGATCGGATCATCCGTTCCCAACTGCCGCCATGGTGAGAAGCTGCAGGAGGGTTGAACTGCCAGTCGATACCTTTTGTAGAAGCGTAGAATGCAGCTCACGGACTGGTTCAAGTTGTCGATTTCCTCTCTCAGCTCACGTTCATTGCTCGTTAAATTTGTCCCGTTGTCGGACCTGATAAGTTCTGGTGTGCCACGTCGTGCAATGAATCTTCGTATCGCATTGATACAACTGTCTGTGTCCATGGAACAAGCTAATTCAATATGGACTGCTCTCGCATCGTCAGACATGAGAAACCACACCATACCTCTTCACCGTTGAACGGCCTCGCTTCACTAGAAAGGGTCCAAAGTAATCAATACCGACATGTGAGAATGGCGGTTTATCGGGATTGAAGGCGATCACTTGGAAGGTTAGCCATTTGTTGTTGACAGGTGGGTGATCTGTACTTTCTGCATGTAACACATCTGGATACAATGCTCTTGACTAGAGTTCCTGCTCCGAGGATCCAATAGTACTGACGAATATAGGTGAGAATAGCATTTTTCCCCATGTGACCAACGGCTCTGTAGGCTTCTTCAAGTAGCTGCTTCGATAATGGCGAATCCTTTGGTAGAACAACTGGGTGTTTTGATTCATATTGAATCGGACTCTTTCGAGACGGACCCCAACACGAACAATTCCTTCTACAATAAATGGATCTAGTTTATAAAGTGAACTAGATTTTCCTATTTCTTTTCGTGTGGTTTCTTGAACTTTCCTTCTTGTCAACAGTTCAATCTCTTTGTGAAAGTGTTGATCTTGTACATATCTAATCAGTGCTTTCTCTGCATCTTTCAACACCGATACTGTCATCCTTAGCCTCTGCTCCTTGCTTCCCTTTGCTGTAATTCTTCTGTACAGCTTTCTACTGATTAGTATCATCCAAGCAACTGCCTTTGCGTAGTTTGATCCAACATTGAGTAGTAGGTGATGAACTTATTCATGGTGTCAGGAGAAATCTGGTGTTTGTCGAAGAAGCAGCTTTGTGGTTTCCATATGACTGATGGTCCTTCATCGTCTTTGTATCTGGTAATCCTAATGGTAGATTTGTCCGAAGTACTAGGAATCCATACATTCTGTGATTTTCCATATGAATGATGGTCCTTCAAAACCACATTCTTGTCTGTTTCAGCTTCTCAAATGTCATTGCTCTAGATGCACATTTAGCTGGGTAAGATTTTGTGTTGACATGTTTCCACTGGCTCACATCTGACCCTTCGTGAATTGTCGTTAGCCTGTTTGCGACAAACGTCTTGAACCTTGATGTCGTGTTTGCAATATTCCTGAGAACAGACATGCTATCTGTCCAGAAGAATATATTGTCTGTTTTGTACTGGAGCTCCTGAAGAATTACCTCCGAGAGACGAACAGCCACTGTCGCAGCGGTCAGCTCCATGCGAGGTGTTGTTATTTTCTTTAGAGGGGCCACTCTTGACTTCGCCATCACCAGCACACAGTGAATGCGATTATCCTCATTCGTAAGGCGTAGATAGGCACATATTCCGTAGCCAACTTCACTGGCATCACAGAATAGATGTAATTGGGCAGACGTCACTTTTCCAAATTCTTGAGGCTTGTAGCATCTTTCGAGATGTAGCGTTTCTAGCTTTGGCAGATCCTTCAACCACTGGAGCCATACTTTCATTGAAGGCTTGCCAATCTCCTCATCCCATCCAATATTCATCTTGCATAGATTCTGGAGCAGCTGTTTGGCAATCAAAATGACAGGTGCGATGAACCCCAGTGGATTTTGAAGCCAAAGGAATCTGTGTTAACAAACCAGAAGACACCAAGAGCCCTTTCGTTGGGAAGAGATTCAAATTCTAGATTCAGTTCTTTAACATCCTTGGCTCTTTCATTGACCGGGATTGACATCATGACTGACTTGCTGTTAGAGATCCACTTTGTGAGGCGAAATCCTCCATCTTGGCATAGTTGTGATAGTTCTTTGATGATGGATACTGCGAATTCTTCATTTTGCGTGGAAGCTAGACAATCATCAGCATAGAAGTTGTCTTTTATCATGGAAACTATTTCAGGATCATACCTTCCTTCATTGTCTTCAGCGGTTCTTTGCAGGGCAAATGTGGAGCAACTTGACGATGATACGGCACCGAATAGATGTACACACATCCTGTAGACTTCTGGTTCTTCATTACACTTCCCATCAGGCCACCAGTAAAAGCGTAGATAATCACGGTCTTCTCTTGGTACTCTAACTCTGTAATACATGGACTCAATGTCGCCCATGATTGCAATGGAGTCCTGGCGAAATCGAAGAAGAATACTGGTCAAGTTATTTGTCAAGTTGGGACCTTGTAGTAGGGTATGATTCAAAGATACTCCCTGGTAGGTTGCAGCACAATCAAAGACTACCTTATCTTACCGGGTTTACGTGGATGATATACACCGTGATGAGGGATGAACCATACATGTCCTGCTTTTACCATCTACTTCTTCAATCGGGACCTTTTCAGCATAATTCTTGGACAGTATGTCCTTCATGAAAGTCTGATAATCTTCTTTGAATTTGTCATCTTTCAGAAATCTTTTCTTCAAACTGTCAAGGCGCTTACGAACTTGAGCACTGTTGTTGGGCATAATCATATCAGAGTCTCTAAATGGCAGATTAATGTAATAATGTCCATCTTGAAAGCTTGTAGATTCATTCACTTTGCTGAGAAACAGTTTGTCTTCTTGCGATAATTCAGCTTTATCATCAATAGATCTTTCAGGAAAATCCAAGTTAATGCTTTTCCTAACCAGTGTGTCCAAGTCAGCACTTTCTTTTATGGTCTTCACACTGAGCATTTCAGTTCTCATGGAGAGATGATTCTCAGTCTCAGTTTTAGAGCTTGCAGGTCGGACTACATTCCAGAGAATCCAGCCTAATCGTGTTCTGGTAGCATATGGGCTACTCGGAGGACCAACTTTAACTTCAAGAGGAGAGTAGGCATCTGGGACATTTCCACCCAATGAGTAGGTCAACTCCAGATACCAGTCTTGGTACTTGAACTCCTTCAAGATGAGACCATTTTGCAAAGTCAGAGTCCTTTGGAATATGTTGACTTGTAACTGGAATCCTACTTCTTGTGTATACTATGGGAAGATCAACAGTATTCTTTAAATCCATGTCGTGGACCTTAAGACCAGAGATGGCGTGAACGGTTGAGGTATGTGGCTCTCCTAATGTATCTATGGTGATTTCTACCTTTCTTGATTTTCCATTAGATCCAAGTTTGTTCATGAGAGCTTCAGAGCAAAAGGAAACTGTACTTCCTGGGTCTAAGAAGGCATATGTAGATACCACTTTCAAAGAGTCTCTGAATGAAATCTGTACTGGTATAACAGCAAGAGTACACTCACTACTAACGTCTCCGGCCTCCGTAACTTCATTAGCTTGCCCTGTACAAGCACTTATGGTCTTCAAACTTGTGTTGTGGTCAATGTGCAGGAGAGTTGCATGGTTGCCATCACATCGCTGACACTTGACATTCTTGCTAACACTTCGGCAAGAATCTATGAGATGTCCATGACTTATAGCAGTAGACACATTTCTTGGTTCCATTGATCTGAGTCCTTGACTGTAGAGAGTTCATGGGTTTATTTTCAAACTTGTTTGTCTTTACCAGGTCAGTACCAAATGTAACCTTCGGTCTGGGAGCTGATGGTTTTCTGTAAGGCGGCTGTGACATGATGTCAGGTTTCATGGCTTCCTTTCCATACATCGGGTCTGTGGCTTTTAGTGCTTCAGTTCGTACAAAGTGAACAAGGTCAGAGAATTCAACACCTCTTCTGGATTGACGAAGATTTATGACAGTACTTCTCCATTTTTCTTGACAGTGGAATGGTAGTTTCATGGCTAACTTGCGAATGTTGTCTGGGTATTCTAGACCCTTGACTGCATGAAGAGATCTAACAGCATTCTGACACTCATTCAGGAACACAGAATATTGATCCAAAGCTCTAACATTGTCCGGTTTGATGTTCGGCCAACACATAGCTTTCTTAATCAAAGTGCTAGCAATTATTTCTTGGTTGCCATACCTAGACTCAAGTTCACCCATTGCAGCATGATAACCGTCTCTTGCATCTAAGTAGCTGAAGCTTCTAACAACTTGATGAGCCTCCCCTGTGGTGAACTGCTCTAAGTAGCACATGAGTTCATCTTTGGAGCTAGAGTTAGTGACTACCTTGGTTCGAAACTGACGCATAAACTTCTGATATTCTAGGGATTTCCACTAAACTTCTGGATGTCTGGTACAGGCTTTTTAAGTTGTTGAACTACTGACATGAAAACATCATCTTGTGGATGACTGTAACTTCTAGATGGAAGAAAGGAGGAATTTCTTGTATTCAAACCTGTGTCTTCAGGACTATAGACGGGCTTAGTTTCTACAACTGGCTCAGATTTTAATGGAGGGTCAATATTGTCAGTTTCTTTCCTACTTGAAATTGTATCTTCAGGTCCCATACTATCCTGATCATTTTCAAAGTCATTCAATACTCTTGATTTTTTCTGACAAACCTCAATTTGTGTCTGTAGCTCTAACTCCTCCTTCTTTAATCTGAATGTCTAATTTAGCCTGTTGAATCTTTTGTTTCTCTTTAAGAGCCCGTTTCCTAGCTTCAAGTTCTGCTTGCTTCTGTTTCTCATGTAACATAGCTGAGGAAACATTCCTTGCAAGTGAGGATTTTCCACATTTAACAGATAGTGACTTCTTGCTAGAATTGCTTTTCCGTGAATGCTCACTCATAGCCTGACTTGCACTTTGTTCCAATAAATACTGCTCTATAGTTGTCTTGATTCTCAACAGTATCTTATCTTGTCCCTACTTCTTCCTTAAAAGCTGACAAAGCTGGCTCTTCTAATAACTGTATGTATTCTTCTCTAGCATCATAAAGAGTATTAAAAAGAGTCAACCATGACGCATATTCACGACGAACTTTCTCAACAGTAAACTTAGTTAAAACCCCTGTAGCAATAACTAAGTTGATATGATGATAGTCTCTTTCAAGTTGATGGAAGATTGACTGTACCCTTTCACACTTGATTTCTAGAGCATTAGATAAACCTTTTCTGGTGAGCATTCTTGATTCCAATTCCTTCTAATATCTGAGTTCTTACAACTTCATTCAAAATCCACTTGTTTCTCCAATATCCAGAAAAAGCAATGTCCAATAATGCAAATGTCCAGTTATGTGAATGTCCAGTAGTGTTAATGCTATGTTGTGAACAACATGATTCTTGTGTATTGTATGTATTACTTTATTCAATGTCCATCTGTTCAACATGTCTATCCGTTTCCAGTTCTAATTCTAATATCCATATTCAATTCCTGCATGTTGCCTTTTACAGTAGATTAACTGAAATCAGTATAAGAACTAAATAAGTTTTAGGAAGTAATAAGCCATAAACAGAATTTAACTTGCTACATGAGCAAATGGCTGTACTGCCACTTCCCAAAGTCATTCAAAGACAAAATCACAAAATATTGTTATATGCTCCTAAGCACGTTTGAAATACAATAAAGCACTGAGAGCATGAAAACTTCTTCAAAAGCACTGAGAAAATGTTAACCTTATGCCATGAAAACATGTATTCATATAATTTTGACCAACTTGAAACTTGCCCAAAAATTACCAAATAAAGCAAAATTCCTACACAATAATTACCATGACTTACATGAAAAGATAGATTAAAGTTACTTTAACAAATTACAATTCATGAAACATGAAAAATACCATAATAATGCTTTACCACTACTTTGGACATTCTCGTGGTGGTTGTTTACTGTGCAAGCACATGGCCTCAAGTGGCATGCCCTGAGACAGTAACCTCTCTTTTGAGGGTTATTAAAAGTGGCAATGGTGTTAAACGAAATAAGAGCAAAATTACACTTGGTTAAATAAAAACTAGAAATTTAACGGAAAATGATTTTGAAAAATAAAGTTTTAGGAAAATAAGTGTTTTGACCATAACAGTTGAGTTGGTGACAGAAACGATTTACGTTTTTCATTGCAAGGAATACATATTTCCCGAGACATTCAATAATACATACATTATCTGATGAAAAGTAAATACAGCTTATGATGGAAATTGCCAACAATATCTTGATAATAATGATTGTCTTAATTCGTTATAAAATGGGCATTGTAGAACAAAATGTAATTCTGTTTCTACAGTTGGAACAATACATAGCGGACATAGGCGTTCCTCTCTCTTTAACCCCCAGTTTTCGCCCCATTTCAATCATTAAGCGGTGGTTAGAACATCTAAGAAAACAAAGCGCAGAGCGATAAATTATTACTGATTTACTAGATAGATAGCTTCAAAACCACAGCAGTTTTAACTGACCGATTTATGCAAACATACATCGGACTGGGTATTCTCTGTTGTTGAAAATGAACAATATTGTATACCGTGCTTGCACCAAGTATCTATATAGGAACGCGAATTCCAACAGCCCTCCATGAGGAAATGAAGTACGTTTCAGTGGATAAGATCCTCCCTTTGCCACTGTTAAGATGTTGTCTTATATTCTTATGATCTTGATTATATTACCATATGTGAAGTTATGTTATACTTTTCTTATGTACCACCGTTGGTGGGTTCTTCTGAGAATAAACAAACTGTGAAACTGTCAACAGGGAAAGACACGACACGAAGGTACAGTATTTACA